GGACAGCTGTCCGAATACCGATATGGTGTATTCAGACCGTGAAACTGAACAATTTCGTATAAAAAATATTTCAGGAGACGATTAAATGATTTTTTAGACTATTTCACTAATGAACAATGTCTTATAATATAGCACTGTGACTGCATTAAAATCCCAATACATTACCCACCTTGATGTTATTATGAGGAGGGATAAAAATCATGTGACCAAAAAGGTAATGAATATGAATGTAGATGGACGCAGAAGGAGAGGAAGGTATAAAAAAGTTTGAATGTATTGTGTAAAAGATGATATGAATCAATGAAATGGCTGATAGAAATGAATGAAAGAAAATATGTTGCGCCGACCCCAAATAAATTGGGATAAAGACAGGAGGATGATGACCACAGAAAACAGAAAGACGTCTTTCTGATGATGACCCACCTTCTTGATGTGCGAGTTGACCATGGACCGCAGGTGGAAGAGCGCGGGACACAGCGGGCACTGTTTGGTCGGCATCGTGTCCAGCAGTGGACTGTAGTGTCCAGCAGTGGACTGTATGGTGACCCACCTTCTTGATGCGAGTTGACCATGGATCGCAGGTGGAAGAGCGCGGGACACAGCGGGCACTGTTTGGTCGGCATCGTGTGTCCAGCAGTGGACTGTATTGTCCAGCAGTGGACTGTATGGTGACCCACCTTCTTGATGCGAGTTGACCATGGATCGCAGGTGGAAGAGCGCGGGACACAGCGGGCACTGTTTGGTCGGCATCGTGTGTCCAGCAGTGGACTGTATTCTCCAGCAGTGGACTGTATTGTCCAGAAGTGGACTGTATGGTGACCCACCTTCTTGATGTGCGAGTTGACCATGGATCGCAGGTGGAACAGCGCGGGACACAGCGGGCACTGTTTGGTCGGCATCGTGTGTCCAGCAGTGGACTGTATTGCCCAGCAGTGGACTGTATGGTGACCCACCTTCTTGATGTGCGAGTTGACCATGGATCGCAGGTGGAACAGCGCGGGACACAGCGGGCACTGTTTGGTCGGCATCGTGTGTCCAGCAGTGGACTGTATTGTCCAGCAGTGGACTGTATGGTGACCCACCTTCTTGATGTGCGAGTTGACCATGGATCGCAGGTGGAAGAGCGCGGGACACAGCGGGCACTGTTTGGTCGGCATCGTGTGTCCAGCAGTGGACTGTATTGTCCAGCAGTGGACTGTATGGTGACCCACCTTCTTGATGTGCGAGTTGACCATGGATCGCAGGTGGAAGAGCGCGGGACACAGCGGGCACTGTTTGGTCGGCATCGTGTGTCCAGCAGTGGACTGTATGGTGACCCACCTTCTTGATGTGCGAGTTGACCATGGATCGCAGGTGGAAGAGCGCGGGACACAGCGGGCACTGTTTGGTCGGCATCGTGTGTCCAACAGTGGACTGTATTGTCCAGCAGTGGACTGTATGGTGACCCACCTTCTTGATGTGCGAGTTGACCATGGATCGCAGGTGGAAGAGCGCGGGACACAGCGGGCACTGTTTGGTCGGCATCGTGTGTCCAGCAGTGGACTGTATTGTCCAGCAGTGGACTGTATGGTGACCCACCTTCTTGATGTGCGAGTTGACCATGGATCGCAGGTGGAAGAGCGCGGGACACAGCGGGCACTGTTTGGTCGGCAGCGTGTGTGCGCAGACCATATGCTGGTTGCGACGGTTCACCGATATGAAGCCGCGCCCGCAGGTCTGTGCACGGAAATTATATATTCTTCATTATACACGGAAATTTTCCAGAATACACATACCTACATAAAAAACATGTACAAAGGCTAGCTTAACTCAAAAAAACATTGGATTGTCTTCCAGCTTACCAGCTGATAGGAATTATCGTATCAATACCAACAACTTCTTCGAAAATATTAGCTGTCTAGCATGCATACTTTCTTTTTCATAATCCGGGTTTCTTTCGGCCATCGAGGGCTAAACTTAGGGGGCCTTACCACAAAAAAGTTAGACCAGTGTTGAACGCGTGTCTAGCGTTTTTTTTGTATGAAGTTTTATTTTAGACACGCGTTATTTATTTATTTTATTTAACCGTTTATTGTACACAATAAAACATATAGGACATAACATATTGAACAAAACACAACAGGTCAGCTTATTTCTAAAATGAAATCTCTTCCAGCAGACCTAGGGTAGTGATATGGCATAAAGTGAGGCAGATAACGTGTACAACTTACTAAGATATATATAATAATAATCTATAATGTTATAATTTAAGATACACTTACATACAAATACTTACGTATATAAATAGACCTACATTATAAATATATACCTACACTAACTAAGTGGAGAGAGAAAGATAGTGCTCTTTACTCGTTTTTGAAAATAGAAAGAGAAGGGCTGTCACGCACTGTGTGCGGGAGGAGTTCCACAGTCTGGCCGCATGGACAGTAAAAGAATAACTGTAGAAGTCGGAATGATGGATGGGTATAGACAGAATCGTCCTTACATGGGAGCGACAGGCTTGTCCGGCGGACGAGAAAACTAAAGCGTTCTTTGAGATAAGACGGAGAAGATGGATTGTGAGAACGTTATAGAGACAAGAGGACGTGAGCATTTCTTCTTTGCCGAATCGGAAGCCACTTGAGTTATGAGCGAAACTGTGAGACGTGATCATATTTGCGTAAGCCGAAAATAAACCTAATGCAGAGGTTTTGAAGACGCTCAAGTTTGCTCAACAACTCCGTGGCATCCAAATAGCAGGTGTCGGCGTAGTCAAAAGGGGAAAAGAAGTGTTTGAGCCAGAGTGATCTTAGTTTTAGAGGTAAAAATTTTGAAGGCGTTTAAGCGAATGAAAGGAATAAAATACCTACTGCTAACAGCGTTGACCTGCGGAGTCCAACTGAGATTGGAATCAGCAGAATACCAAGGTTTTGGCAGTTTTAGTGTAACCTATAGACGTGCCGTTATAAACAACAGGTGGGATGCTGAGAGGGTCTATCTGATTACACATATAGGAACTACCTAATAACATGGCTTGAGACTTTAAAGGGTTGACTACAAGTCCGAAACATTCAGCCCATTCAGCAATTTTGCTGAGGTCATTGTTGATAGCCGCAGTTGCACTGTTGATATCATCAGTAGTGAAATGACGATAGATCTGCAAATCGTCTGCATAAAGATGGAAGCTAGAAGAAATAACAGAAGTAACTGTGTTGATGAAAACTGAGAAGAGAAGAGGTGAAAGGACGCCACCTTGAGGAACGCCCGCAGAAAGATCACACCATTCTGAGAAGGTCTCATCAGAGCGGACCCGCTGCGAGCGACCCCGAAGGTATGAATCAAACCAGGATATTGCCGAAGAAGAGATGTTAAGAGACCGAAGGATAGCTAAAAGTACATCAAAGTCAACCGAGTTGAATGCATTACTAAAATACGCGTTCAACACTGGTCTAATTTTTTTGTGGTAAGGCCCAGGATGTTTAACAAACAAAACCCGACAGCGTAATTTTAAAGTTATATTTTGTGTAAGATCCACCATTTTGAAATTTTTGAAACCAAGTTCTTTTTTGTGCGCATACTCACATCACAGGTGTAAGGTCTTTCGTTGGTGTGTAGCATGGAGTGCCACATGAGTGACCGCTCGTCCACGAAGTCCTTTCCACAGGTCGCGCAAATGGTCCGTCTCTTGCTGCTGCTGCTACTGTCTTTCTTTTGGGGAGCCTCCTTTAGTGATGCATCTGCTGTGTTGTCCCTAGGAAGATAAACAAAAATGATTTTGATGCCGTTTTCTGTAATAGATACCTAGAGATTGATGAGAAATGTTTATATGTATGACACAAGCCGGGAAAATGAGTTGCAGCAGGTGAAACCGCGAACTGGATAACTAAAGTGGGATAAAATTATTATTTTCAGATATTGGTCAGAGTATACTTTTAGCCGACTGTATACATGGTGTAAAAAAATTAACTGCAAATGGTGAATTTTAAATGGTGAACCAGTCCATGAAACTGAACAACTTTCCCCAAGGAACATAGCTCGAAATATAAATTTTTTTTGGCCCCATGCAAGTTGCCCCGGCTGGCCAGCACATTTAGTATGGGAGGACCAAAAACTTTTTTCGTTTTTCGACCTATGTTTCTTGGGGAAAGTTGTTCAGTTTCATGGCTGGTTCACCCCTTATAATATTTGCAGTTAATTTTTTTCTTCTTTCCAGTATAATAATGTCCACTGTTGGACGAATGCCTCTTGATAGTTTCTCCACTCTGTTCTATTTGCGGCGGTTCTGGTTCAGGTCGGCCCTGCCGTCTTTTTGATATCGTCCGACCATCTTGCTGGTGGTCTGCCAACACGTCGACTTCCTGCACGGGGCCTCCAATGCTCCAAGTTAAGTTTTTTACGCCATGTATACTTTTTGGGGCGTGTTCTAGACGATGTGAAACTAAAAAACTTGTTGCGAAACGAAACGCTAAAAAAGCTGTTTATCGGACACACTGTATTGTAAGTCCTGTGGCCTTCCTAGGAAATTCTTTTTAAGTGGTTACAACAAGTGGAGCTGATGACCTGTCTGCGCGGTCCATAGGCGTCCCGTGACTTACCTTTCGTCATCTTCGTTCTTATGCAGTTCATGTTTCCTTATATGCGCCTCGCAACTTATCTCACTCTTATACATTTTCCCACAATAAAAGCAAGTGTATTTCTTGTCATGTTTCTTATCATAATGATCATTAAGCTGTTCCTCATCTAAAACTATGTAACCACATATTTCGCAGACGTGGCAATTGTCCATTTCAACAATATTTTTCATCTCCTCATGCCATTTCATATGGCTAATAATAGTTTCACGTTTCTTGAATATTGTGTTACAGAATTCACATCGGTGGATGCCGGTGTGGCCTGCTAGGTGAGTCTCGTGTTCTGTCGCGTCTTCTGTGGTAGCTTTACAAATCTGGAAAATTAGGGAACAGAATTAGTTAATACTATAGAACATTTTAAGTTTATTAATGACAATAAAAAAAAATATTAGCATCGGCTGGGGCTTAAACCTGGGACTGTGGGTTACCAACCCACTGCTCTGGCAACTGAGCCACCGGCGCCTAGCTGATTCTCATGAAATTTTCAACATCTTAATCCTCATCTCAAACAAAGCAACAATTACCCATGGTCACGGGTTCAATCTTCAGCCAACGCAATGTTATTGTTCAATATCTTATAATTTGATGACGAGAAAATAGATTTATTAATTTTGGTACTGCATTACACTCTGATATACCACATCCATCTAAATGCCCCTTAACGTCTGATGCCTGGATAGACGGAAGTATGCTGGTGGTGTGCTTATGTAAAATTGCTTACCTTACAGATGAACAAATCAACATCATGTGCAGCTTTCATATGTCCCTTGAGTTTGGACAAAAACCTGTATTTTACCGGACACCGACTGCAGTGCGTATAATCCGAAGGATCTCTTTTTCTTCTCACTTTCTGCTTTGCTGAAAAACACACTTGTTTAAAAGGTTTAGAGTCTTCCTTCTCAGACACTAAAACAAACTCTCCGTTTTCACCAACTGTATAATATTGTTGTTGGCCCTTCTCTTCGATTGCAACAATAAGATTGTCATTATATTTTTTCTGTTTTTTATTCTTGGTCTTTGTATTTATTATATGAAATTCATTCATTTCCTTTTTGATCTCCACATGCTCAACTGAGTCTTGATCTTCAAAATATTCTTCAATCAAGCATGCCTCTATGTCATAGTCAAAATATTTGGTACTAGGTATGTACTCAGGCAATGTGATACAAAGAGTATCACTGGAGTAATCTTCAGGGATTTCTATGGAATAGACATTCTTTTCCAATTCATCTACATAAAAATTGAGAATTTCGTCACTCCTTTTGGCTGTTAAATAGAACTTGTAAGCTGTAGAAGCCATTAAGAAGCAGTCTGAGCAGATATTACTGTTGTCTGCATCTGAAATCTAGAAAATTAGATTGGTAATTATTTTTGGATCATCATCTTCCTGCCCTTATCAGCATTGGGAATGCTTCCCTCCTTGGGAATGCTTTCGTGGTGGATTATCCGCCACCATACGGTTGGCCCTAGCTGTTTGGGTCGGGTTTGTCCCTCGGTCGCCTCTTACGACCCCCACGGGAAGAGAGGGGGTGGTGCTATTCTACTCTGCCGGCACCACACGGCTATGTTATGTAATTATATGGCAGTTTTAAAAGACCTAGGTAAAATTAGAGGGCATTGTGTAAGTATAATGTGTGACAGTGTGACAACAATCAAAATACGACGAAGAGAACAAAGTAATATCTAATGATCAAACTCCTGATGTATGCAGTATAGTTACTAACGTGCCTACAGAAAACTCTTTTCATCCTTTACCTGAAGATGAAAACTTAGAGAGCTCAGCTGAGTCTAAGGAAGATGAACAAGAATTTAAACATTCCAGCAAGATCATAGACGAGGAAAATTGCACTCATGATGAAAACAGTGCCTGGATAAACTGCGCCAACAGAAAGAAAAACGTTTCCTTAAATGACCTAAGTTCGATATATAAAGTAGCTGATGCTGGGACAAGTTCTGCATCATGTAACAGTCTACCGGAAATGACAGTTGATGACGAGGTACTAAAACTAAAAATCGTGAATGAACAGCTACGTATGGAGATAAACAGTGCAGATGAAGTAATCAGCAACCTCTTGCTTGAGAATACACAGGTTAAAGCAGAATTTGATAAGGCGAAACGCTCTATTGAATTATTAAAACAACTCACAACTACGTGTCATCTAACATCATCGACACCTGAAAAATCGACAGCGAAAAAAATTTATGAAAGAAACTCTGCTCATAAAATGAGTGCATTTGAAGGAATAAAACGGTCACTAAGATTAAGTTTGACGAAGACAGAAATTTTTCCAGCTAATACACGTTCTGCACAAGCCACTCAGACGGATAATAAATGTTACACAGAGCCAGTAATAAAAACTAAAAATCAGAAAAGGTGTATCAATCAAAAGAAACAACTAAAAAAAGCACGACAACGGATACAGAAAATAGTTGAACGCATCAATAACTTAAAAACTGAAAACGAAATTCTATCAAATGCAATTTTGAATATGAAGACCAGCAATGAAAATGATTCAGATAATAGTAAAAGCATCGAAGCTGATATATCTGAATATAATAAACAATTAGCCGATGATACTTTGGAAGAGGATTATAATCAAATTCTATATGATATTCCATTGCAATCAAATAATACAAAAACTGAAAATAGTAATGAATCTAGTGTAAGTTTGATGCAAACCGAGTCCAAAAAAGCTGACAATTCTAATAAAGCGAAGATTTTATTATTAGCAGATCAACAGGGCAAAGGAACTCAAAGAACTACAAGAGCTCGTCGGCGATGGTTATATAGTATCGTGTATTTGGAAGCCTGGCGCAAAAATTGCAAATGTGTTGAATTCTTGCAAAGATGATATTGATAAACTAACTGAGCAGGATTTTGTAGTTGTTTTGGCCGGCAAAAATGACACTAACCCATTTGAGTTTAGTTCGAATCTACTAATATGGTTAAGCAAAATAACTGCCAATGTAATAATTTGTGAGATTCCTTTAACAACCATTTGAATGAAACTAAGTTAAATTACGAAATCAAGACCTTGTGTTGTCATTACCGAAATGCTTTGTTTTTAGATTTGAATTACAGTAGATTTGTTCCCCGACGCAGTGAGTCTGCAACCTACATTTGTCGTCAAATATTAAGAGAAACGTTGCGCATTAGCTATAAGCAGAATTACACGAATTATTGTAAATCTCAAATAAATATTTCTAATGACAATGTGAATAACAAATTCAGTAAAAGTACCCAAACATCTCAAGTAAGCCTTGTGTGCACTACAAGTAAAGACACAACTAGCTTTGTTTCAACAAGTACTCAAACCGAAAGCAATCCAGAAACTTCTGAGCATGTATGTAACCTGCAGTGTGGACATAACAAATCTTCTGACCAAACTAATCAGACTGGAACAAACAGCGATATTTTTTGTGTACAACCATTTAATGGTCCTTCACCAGAACATTGATGGATTAATTAACAAGGCGGATGTATTCATTGAATGTCTCGATAGTTTAAAAGATATGGGTAAGGGTGCAGATGTGCTTTGCTTTACTGAACACAACATGACAGCTGAGGATACTTCCATTTTGTGCATACCTAATTATACATTGGCCACACACTTTACCAGACGAAAACGAGCGGGTGGATCTTGTTTACTTAAAGAATAACTACAAATTTAAGTCTCTAGATTTTGTTTCTAAACTATCTATACCCAATGTCTTGGAATGCTGTGCATGTAACCTCGTAGATCATAAAATAACTATATTATGCGTATACAGGGTACCAAAACAAAAAAAGAAATCAAAATATTTTGACTTATTTATGGATCGTATGTTTGAAATATTAACTAAAATATCTCACGACACTAACAGAAAAATAATTGTATGCGGAGATTTTAATATAAATTTACTAGATACAAAAAATAAACGTACTATACAATTTCAACAGCTACTTAAAAGTTTTAATTTGAAATGTGCTATCAATGAACCAACTAGACTTGTAGCGGCACTTGCATAGATAACATTGCTCATAATAGGATTAGGGCTGCAAAGGCGAAGTATTTGAGTTTGCTGTCTCTGATCATACAGCTCAACTACTTCGCTGCCCCATAAAGAAAACATGTATTTTCAAATATTGGTATTCATTTATACGTGACTTAAGCCGTGACAACATGAACAAGTTTGGCGAGTGTCTGGCGAGCCTAAGTTTTAATGAGGTATACGAAGAGAAAGATGGTAACAAAGCTTTAATAAGTTCTATGATCTCTTCATTATTTTCTATGACTTGTGTTTTCCCAATGTAAGAGTGAAACAATTTATTGAAAAAGACCTAAATGGATATCCAAGGGTATAAAGAAATGCGCTCAGCGTAAAAGAGAATTGTTATGGAGATATAGACGTACTCGCAAAATACAGACAAAACAATATTTAAGAAATATTCTCATAGACTGCGCAAATAATTAAACTGACTCAAAAGTCTCAAAATGACTACCAAATTGCAATAGCGAGCAACAAATCTAAAGCCACTTGGCAAATCATTAATAAAACAAAAGTAACTATCCGAAAGAAGAAATTCTCCAGATGAAAGCAACTACGGAGAGTTACTGCGTGACCCGCAGCAAATTTCACAGGCGCTTAATGACTTTTTGTTGACCAAGTTCAGCCGTCTAAAAATAGGAATAATTCTGACAATATGTACTTGTGCACATTTGACAAACACACTTCGATTTTCATGCAACCTACTGTACCCAAGGACATCTTAAATATTATACATGACCTCAAAACACGAAAAGTACAGGATATGATAACGTATGTACTAAAGTTATTAAATATGTATCACGTTTAATTGCCCCAGTTCTTAGCCATGTTATAAATATGTGTGTCCTACAGGGTATTTTTCCAGATAAACTTAAGATAACCATTGTCAGGCCTATATATAAAAAGATAACAAAGAGGAAATGACATCTTATAGACCCGTAGCACTGATACCTATATTTTCCAAAATTTTTGAAAAGTCATCTATAATTCACTGTACTCATATTTAGATCATAACCATATACTCATAGACGAACAAAAGGATTCAGAAAAGGTAGAGGTGTCGACCTAGCTATGTATGACTTTTTATATAAAATATATGTAAGAATGGATAACCGACTCAGCTTTTGCACTTTTATGGACATGTCAAAGGCGTTTGATCATGTTGATCATAAGCTGCTGCTGAAGAAATTGTACACGTACGGAATTAGAGGTAATGTCCATGACCTACTTAAATCATACCTATCAGGGCGAACACAAATAGTGCAAATTAGGAAAATCTGTACTAGAAGTCAAACTGAAGTTACCTACAGTTCTACCAAAAGAGAAATTAATTTCGGTGTACCTCAGGAAGCGTTTTGGGGCCACTCTTATTCCTCATTTACATAAATGATATAATCAGATCCACAAAAGAACACATGATACTCTTTGCCGAT